TACTACTACCAGCCCCCCCCCCTACCAACTACACTTGCTCCATCCGGGCTGGGCAGTGGCAGCTTCTAGGCTCCCGATCTGTGACAGCTCCACTACCACTATCACCACTACCACCAGTTACTACTACTAATAATAATAATACTCTTAATACTACTACTCTGCTACTACTGTACTGCTGCTGCTGACACGGCTGTTGCGGCTGCTACTGCTACTGATACTGCTACTGCGACTGCTGCTGCTATGGCGACGGCAACAGCCACGGCTACTGCTACGGCTACTGCTGTGGCTACTGCCACAGCTACTGCTCCTGCTACTACGACGAATACTACGACCAGTACTGCCACCACCACTGCTGAGTCACTACTGCGTCTGTTCCTCCTCCTCTCTGTACGGACTGTTTGCATCTCGGCTTTGAAAGCAACTCCGTTTAGAGCAGTCCCGGCTGTTGTGGCATAACTTGGCATAACCGGTCACAATGTTTCGCATATTCTGTCTAAAGATGCACGACTCCCAAACTTTCTGCATGCCCCGATGATGCCTCGTCCTTTGCATGGGCGGCCGCCGCTAGTCAACCAGCTACACCCGTTGGAGCCGCGCGAGATTTGGTGTGACAACACTGGGAACTCCTGCAACTATTCCAAGCAGCATCGCATCACAAGCAGCATGATTATCAGCGTCGCTACGCTACGCGGCTCTGTTGCACCATTGCCGTCGTCACCCACGTCAGTGCAATGCCACACGACGCCACGACGTTATCCAAACCGCTTGTAGTAGATGCTGTTGCACCTGTGTGTGCGGCTTTATGTCGTCACGGTGTTTTTGGTGCTTTCGGCGTATGGCTGTGGAGCTGAGCTGCCACCCCAGATAGCTTCCTGTGAAAAGGGTTGCTACATCAGGACCATAAGTATCTGTAAGCTATTCCATCTTAAGGCTGAAGTTTGCAGGATGTCAAAGGACTTAAGCGGAAGTTTGAAGGACAGCCGTGGTAGTCAAAAATCAACTCGTAGTGGTTGTGCCGGTCCGGCTTTGCACCAGCGTCTTTCTCCCTCTGTTCATCCAGCGTAATGTGCCGACATCAGTCTCATTGCATCCTTCCAGAAGGAATCACAAGAGCTCACTTCGATTTGAGCTCCATCTTGCCTGCGCCTTCTTGCTGCATTGCTGGCTGCATGGGCCTGCTGCACTTCCTCTTGGAGGATCGAAACTAGCTGCCGCTAACTGTATTTTCCCTACAAAGTTGCGCGGAGATGCAAGACATGGAACGACGAGGGCAGATCTTGGCCCACGACTCGTTCCAAGCTTTTCTCAGGCCAGTCTCCTGTGGATCTCAGGCCTTTCGAACATGCCTCGAATATTAAGCTCTGTGACGAGCCAGCATGGAAGTGAACATACAGATGCAAAGGGCACCGTTTGCCTCGGCAACTCATTGCCACGTTCCTGTAAATGGAGGTCGGCAAGAACTTGCGGGAGCGCATCATCGCACTTCGACCAGGCCTCAGGCTTGGGGAATCTATTGCTTTAGGTTTAGGTTTCGCTGGTGTTGGGTCTTGGCCTGCTGTTTGGACGGAGGGGCTTTGCCTTAAAAGGGTAGCAGTGACCCATCACGGCTCCTCTCAGTGGCCATCAGTAGAGTGCGCACTCTCACTCTGAAAAGCAGTGAGCCCTTCCACTTGGGCTGCGCACCGTGCCGCCGGAGAGAGCTTCGCCCACAGGGCGCAGCGAAATCTGCAAGTGTGTCCAAGAAGCCTGCGAATGAATGAAGTTAAGGACAGGGATCAGAACATGCAGTGGCAGTTTGCACAGCAGTCCTTCCCGTCCAGGAATTGATTTTCCGAAGTCGCTCATGGGGACGTTAAGGTATGCTTCGCGGTTCGCGGCAACGACCCCTTGATCAGCTTCCGGCCATCCACTGATCACGGGGTTTCTATCACGGTTCCGCGTTTGTCCCCACCCGATTGGCTGACCGGGCCGCACCAAAACTCACCACGGTTGCACTTCTCAGATTTCTGCTCGTCAATGAACCGAAGCCACAGGTGTCCACAAGCAGCTATGCCCTCTTACCATGACAGTATCAGCAACAAGCCTCGGGGCGCCCAATTACTCGTAGATATGGTTGAAACCGATACCTGCGCGGATAGCTTGTATTGGTACTTACGATAAGCGCAAAACCATGAAAGCAATAGCTGGTCCTATGCTGACAAATGGACTCGTTTTTGGAAGCTCGTTCTGGGCTGCCTCTTCTTCAGGATGTACAGAAGCAGGTCCGAAGCTTCTCCCGAAAGCCCTCGGAAAGACAAGGAAAAGGCTTGGCTCGCTGGAAAACAGAACTCGGCTGTATGACGCCAAGATGGCGTGCCGCCCACGATTCTCATGTCCGGTAACAGTTTCATCCACTGATCTTGGAAGTTGGTGGCAGGTTATGCATTTCTCGACGGCCTCAGTGGAGGAGCCGATGCGTGTTTTTGTCTGAGGGCACGGCTTTGGCACGCAGCTGCTGGAGGACCTGAATAGGGAGGCAAAGCCCTCGCTGGGTCGGATGCCCCGTGATTTTGTAAGTTGGTGCGTCGCTTTGCATGTCATGGAGCTGCGATGGCCAGCTGCTATGGCATCACCAGGGTCAGTTAAACCCGCACGAAAAGGAAAGGCACAGCCCGAACTCCAAACTTGCACAGAGTCACTTCTTCTCAGTATACTCGTGGCTGCTAGTGGCATGAGTCGACGAGGACGACGACAACGACCGCAAAAACAACAACCACAACCACAGCCGCAGCCACAACCACAGCCACAGACACAACCACAGTCACAACCACAGCCACAGCAGCCACAACCACAGCCACAGCCA